CTCTTTATCTGCCCTTCACTCCTAAATAATAGCTTTGCTGGGTAGAGTAGCCTTGTTTGTAACTCCTTGCTTTTCATTTACTTTGAACATTTTGTGTCAACCGCTCTGGCCTGCAAAGTTTCTGTTGGAAAATCAGCTAACAGTCTTATGAGGAGCTAACAGTCTTATGATTTAACATTTATGTTAAATCAACACTCTGTGTCACAGTGAACTGGAAGACCAAACACAGTATGTAAAGTTTATCACTGGATACATGTAGAATAGATTTAAAAATAATTGAAAACATAACATGCTAGCTTTGTCTCCATGGCAATCTCAATTTTGTGTGTGTTCCCACAGATTTTCCTGAAACAGAACAATCAGCAGATATACCCCAGGAAGTGGAAAGTACAGCTGAAGATACTACTATTATAAATACAATTACTACAGTGACCTTAGAAACGTTATTTGAAAATATGAATTCTACCCTCTTTGAGGAAGAGGATAAGCAGCTAGAGTTTATATTAATGGTATTGATCCCACTGATTCTATTGGCCCTCCTACTCTTATCAGTGGTACTCATTGTAATAAAGTATAAAAGAAAAAAAGCTAAACAAGGTAAATATTTTGTGTGTTGCCAATTCCAGACAATTGCTCCATGTGTTAATGAACAATCAATAAAACAAAATACCTTTTTGCTTCTACACAGTGCCTTCTAGCCAAGGATCTCAGAGTGCTTTACAGACATGTGAGTATTATCCTAACACCTGCCTGGAGGTGGGGACGGGGTAAGAGAAGGAACTGAGAGGATTTAACGTTAGGCAAAAAAGGGCTACATAAGATAGGAAGTCAGGAATGACATATTTCCATGAAGTTTTCCAGAGTTTAAAAATGCTATATTCCTTTCTTTTTAAAAAGAGAATGTTTCAGCCTAAATTGAAATTTAATATACATAGCTGCCAGCTCTGTACCCCATCCAGATGAGAGCCCTGTAGAATCTTGTCCAATACGTCAATGAAACATGTCCTTACTGTTGGAGGGAAGGGTAAGGCTGGTGAAGCAGGGGGCCGACTGAGGTTAGGGTTGGGACGGCCGGAGACCTTGGGGTCATCCCACAAGAAGTGGATTCTTCCATCTGTCTTTGTGTCACAGATATTGTTTTCTCCCCCATGCCACATCCCAATTTGATCTTGAAAAGGCCTGGGTGAAGCATTGTTCCTATTTCCATTAAAGCTATGCAAACTTGTATAAGCAAATTCCTAATTGGCTAAAGATTACTATCATCAATCTGAAACCAATCTCGTAGAAAATTCCCTAGGTCAGAGATTCACTCTGAGAGTATTCAGTTCCAATGCTAGGGCTATCAAATACTAGGTTTTATGGTAGTTCTAGGTCCCAAACAGACTTGGGCTTGTGCTGGTAAAATGACTCCAATTAGATTTTTAAGTTGAAGCCTTCAGTCATTCCAAAAATCACTCAAAGGATGAGAATTTCTCTAATAAGGTATATATTCATATGTGTATACAGAACTCACTCTTGTGTTCCTTCCATCCCTTAACAGGGCACCCCTGAGACCATAGCCTTAGCCCGCAGGCCTTGCTCATTGTCCTTGTGCTGGGGGAGCCTTAAAGCTCTCAGCAGGAACTGTAAATGGACGTTTTCCTTCATGCCCTCAGGTACAGCAAATGGGAGATGGAGAAGAAGCACTGAAGTGCATTACCTTTCATGACAGCAGTTGATCTATTAGAGTCCAAGCATGTAGGAAATACACACGTTTNTAAAGGTTAGCCTGAAATAGTAGCAGCAGCTACAGCACTAGTAGAAGTAAGCAAAAGAAAGAAAAGGGAGGTCTGGGAATTTGAGAAAGGTCCATCGGCACTGACCTCAAGGAAAAGGGTCACCCATGGCACTTGTGTGTGTGTCACCCCCCTCCTACCCCACCCTCCTGTGTCCACTGGCCTGGGTTTTCAGTTCTGCACACAGGATGGCGTTAGTGAGGACTTCGTTCTTGTGGACAAATATCTTTTCCTGAGCTAGGATGCTGCATGATCTATCAAAGCTTTTAATATAAGAGCAAATACATAATTGACTTACGGTATTTCAAAGACATAGATATAGAACCAAGTCACTCCACCCAGAAGGCAGAGATCAGTAAATGGTAGATTTTTTTTTTCTTTTCTCATCTTGTTTTTGGTACATACACGTGAGGAATACCAGTTATACTCTGCAGTCTGTAACTGATTTTGATGATTTGGGGTGACATTTACCAATGTGGTTATCAAGTGGATTCCCTGGTCTTGGGGAAAACTGAAATGTTTATATATGTATAACCAAAGTAATTAGACTGTGATCACACATTTTTATAAATCAGATCAGAGGGCTCCATTGTCATACAGTCATGCATATAGATAAGGTGTTGAATTGGCTCTGCCGTGGCTAATTTGGTCATTGTATGGAGCGGTGACCTAACCTGTATCAGGGCAGGTTCAAAGCAGCTGACTTCTCCGCTTACACAGCACCTTTCGCCTTAAAAGGAACTTTCACCTAAATGATCTCATTTGATAAGTTTTCTATAGCCTACACGAATATGCTGTTTTCCTCAGTGTGCCCCATCTGAATGCTAGGCATCATTACACCATGATAGGATGAAAACCTTCAGCTTACCTTACCAGGATCACTAGATAGACCAGTAAGGAAAGTTTTCTCAAATAATAGTCCTTTCCTTTCTTGCAATGAGCCACAGGATGGTTTTCCAACACAATCTGAAGTTCAAACAGAATAAACTTGCTTATAGCTTATAAATAAAGTTCTAAAGATGCGTTTTACTAAATAAATTTAAATATTAGTGCAGTGTCCTTAGCCTAAATTCCCCTTGAGAATGTCACTTTACAAATGAAATACACAATGCATTTTTATTGAGAAGCCAGGAGGATTTCTGTCCGATTATCTCAGAGGCAGTTCTCTGCAGTCCGTGAGACCTGACACTGAAATCTAGGCAGTCACCCCAATTTCAAAGAATTCTTTTCCATTGGTAAGCAACCTTTTGTTAAAAATTAGGGCACAGTGCATTCCTTTGTACCTAAAAGTGTTATGTGGCAAGTGCTTACCTTTCAGCAAATGTGAATTTTGATTTATTCAGACATGTTATTAAAATATCATGATACCCTGTAGGAGGTGTCCTGGAATATCATGCCTGACAGGGCAAAGCTTCTCAATGCCTTTGCTTAAACGTGTCTAAACTATCTG